AAACTGACCAGATAATGATCAGACCATGACACAGGAAGGATGTTTTGTTCTTCCACCCTGATCATTCCACTGTCCGCCACAAAAACTAGGTCGAGAGTGTGACCCGCCTGGTGGGTGGGTCCAGAAATAATTTGTGACAGCCCCATGGTCATCATGGCGGCCATGAAGTCCTGAGCTGCACCAGACAAGGAGGTCTCGGTATGAATGTTAAAATCTCCAAGCACAACCAAACTTTGGGAGGCCAAGGCCGAATTGGAGACCACCTCTGCTAGCTCAGACAGGGAAACTGCTGGGTGGGCGGTACACCAGCAGAAACCCCACACTGTCACGGTTCCCCACCCTTAGGTGAACACACTCAAACCCAGCTGTTTGCGGAACAGCGCATCTGGCCACGGCGATGGATTGCCGAAAGACTATTGCGACCCCTCCTCCCCGCCTCCCCAGCCTGGCCTGCTGATGCACTCCGAAACCCGGTGGACACAGCTGAGTAAGATTTACTCCCCCCAACTCGTCCAACCAGGTCTCAGTAATGCAAGCCAGATCTGCCCCCTCATCCAGGATCAAGTCCTGAATGGCAGTGGTCTTACCATTGACAGACCTGGCATTGATCAGCAGGACCTTAAGACCGAGGGGACTGCCATGGGGCCTACCACTTCCTACCTTCTCCAGGGTCGCAAGAACTCTATTGCGCTTCTCCCTGGGATGTTGGTGACCAGCACATCTCCTCCCCCACACAACCTGAATGGGGCCCCCCTCCTCCGGAACTCCCTCCCCCTCCACGTTGTTGGAATCTGTGGCTAGTCAGCTTTGTGAGGAAGAAAGGCTGGAGTATAGTTTCCCTTGGATTTCATGTATGGATGTTCCTGATGTCGTGCTAGAAAGCGAGACATCAAGGGAGCTGAGAGGACTGAAGAGAGGGAGTGTTCTTGGACGGGAAAGGGTGGCCAGATGTGTAGGGGCAACTGGGGCAGATGGGGTTTCAAATTGGTATAGTCCTGGAGGGGGGGGCCCTAACCGGGGAGCTATTTGTGGATTTATCACAGGGACCTGATGACACAGAACAAGGAGGTACCACTGTGACAACAAGGGGGCGAACATGAGGGTCCACAACCACCCTCCTGATGGTAATGCCCCAATTCCTTAGGCAGGGTCGAATTGCCAGCAGCTCGCCAAGCCATGAGTTGTCTTCTGGTGTAACTAGAAGGCAGGTAGAGCGATCAAATGATTGATAGTCTCTCCGCAGCCAAGTTATGGCTTTGAGTCTTATTTCCCATGGTCTTTTTGACAGGATGTTGTGGTGACCCCCAACCATAACATTATTTGCGTTGCTACTTCACAACTGTGATGTTGCTAGTGTTATGAATCGTAATGTAAATATCTGATATGCAGGATTTATTTTCAGTCACTGGACCAAATTTGGCACAAATACCCGATACGCCCAAATTTGAATACTGGTGAGGTTGGGAGTGATTGATTTTGTCATTTGGTAATGCTGGAGTTGCTGGGATTTACAGTTCACCTAAAATCAAAGAGCCTTCTGAACTCCACCAATGATGGAATTGACTCAAACTTGGCACACAGAATTCCCATGACCAAGAGAAAATACTGCGAAGGTCTGGTGGACATTCACCTTGAGTTTTTGGGGTTGTAGTTCACCTACATCCAGAGATCACTGTGGGCTCAAGCAATGATGGATCTGGATCAAACTTGGCACAAATACTCAATATGCCCAAATGTGAATACTGGTAGAGTTTGGAGAAAATAGACCTTGCCATTTGGGAGTTGTAATTGTTGGGATTTATAGTTCACCCACAATGAAATAGCATTCTGAACCCCACCAACAATAGAATTGGACCAAACTTTCCACACAGAACCCCCATGACCAACAGAAAATACTATGTTTTCTGATGGTCTTTGGCGACCCCTCTGACACCCCCTTGCGACCCCCCAAAGGGGTCCCAACCCCCAGGTTGAGAAACACTGCCCTAAGGTATTACAAGAACCCTTTGTGTACTGATGTTCCAGACTAACATGGCTATGTCTTTGAATTGTGGAAATGGTATCACAATCATGTGGTTACAGTAAACGTTCCTCAATTAACTCATCCATAACTGTTCCATATTCATGATCACTACTTAAATATCTATTTACAGAATACTGCCCAGTGTATCCTGAGCACAACATGTACAAGACTTTGAAATCCCAGCAGTTACTAGAATTCCAGACTAATCTGATTTATGATCCATAGACTATCGACAGCGTCATTGTGCCAAACACAAATGACAAACCTAGAGCATGCCAACCCTTTGAAATGTTACATTTCTTCACAGGCTGTGCATAGCATCCTGCCAGTGACATATGTAGACCTTTCGCCTTCTGTGATTTACAACAACAAGCTGAAGCCTTCCGCATGCGCTTCCCTCGGCGGACTTCCCTCTTCTTGACCCGGTTGGACTGCTTCCTCCCGAGAAGATGAAAGAAATTATCATGAATCAAGAGAAATTAGCCAAGCTGCAAGCACAAGTGCGCATTGGAGGCAAGGGTACTGCCCGCAGAAAGAAGAAGGTGGTTCACAGAACAGCTACAGCAGATGACAAAAAACTTCAGTTTTCCTTAAAGAAGCTGGGAGTAAATAATATCTCTGGCATTGAGGAGGTAAACATGTTTACCACCCAAGGCACTGTCATCCACTTCAACAACCCTAAGGTCCAGGCTTCTCTAGCTGCTAATACTTTCACAATCACAGGCCATGCTGAAACAAAGCAACTGACTGAAATGCTTCCTAGCATCTTAAACCAACTTGGTGCTGATAGTCTGACAAGCTTGAGAAGACTAGCAGAAGCTCTACCCAAACAACCTGTTGATGGCAAAGCATCACTTGCTACTGGAGAAGAAGACGATGATGAAGTTCCAGATCTTGTGGAAAATTTTGATGAAGCTTCAAAGAATGAAGCAAACTGAACTGCCACTTTAAGTTAAACTTGAAAATTATATAGAGCTGCTATTTTATATTGTAACTTTTATTTGTAACATTTTTGTACTGATCTTAAATCAAAGATCTGTAATATTTGGAAACTCTTAAAAATTGCAGCTCTCCTCATTTCTTGCTAGTGCACGGAGCATTTAGTTGCGGCTGGGTTGGAAATAACAACAAGCTGAAAATGCCCAAAGAAAGCCATCCAATCAAAGCTCATGAAAGAAGAGAGGGAACTCTGGGGGAAGAAGATTTGGTTTAGAGCAGTGTTTCTCCATCTTTCTAATGCCGTGACCCCTTAATACAGTTCCTCATGTTCTGGTGATCCCCAACCATAATATTATTTCCGTTGCTACAGCATAACTGTAATTTTGCTACTGTTGTGAATCATAATGTAAATATCTGATATGCAGGATGTATTTTCATTCACTGGACAAAATTTGGCACAAATACAACCTACGAAGGAGGCTGTCCAGGTCCTGAACCGGTGCTTGGCCACTGTGACAGTCTGGATAAGGGCGAACAAATTGAAATTGAATCCAGACAAGACAGAGGTACTCCTGGTCAGTCGCAAGGCCGAACAGGGCATAGGGTTATAGCCTGTGTTGGATGGGGTTACACTCCCCCTGAAGACGCAGGTTCGCAGCTTGGGTGTGATCTTGGACTCATCGCTGAGCCTGGAACCTCGGGTCTCGGCGGTGACCAGGGGAGCATTTGCACAGTTAAAACTTGTGTGCCAGCTGTGCCCATATCTTGGGAAGTCTGACTTGGCCTTGGTAGTCCACGCTCTAGTTACATCCCGTATAGACTACTGCAATTCTCTCTATGTGGGGTTGCCTTTGAAGACAGTCTGGAAGCTTCAACTAGTCCAATGAATGGCAGCCAGGCTGTTAACAGGAGCAGCGCACAGGGAGCATACAACCCCCTTGTTGCGCCAGCTCCACTGGCTGCCTGTTTGCTACCGGGCCCAACTCAAAGTGCTGGCTTTGGCCTATAAAGCCTTAAACGGTTCTGGCCCAACTTACCTGTCCGAACGTATCTCCCCTTACGAACCACTGAGGACTTTAAGATCATCTGGGGAGGCCCTACTCTTGGTCCCGCCTTCATCACAAGCACGTTTGGCGGGGACAAGAGACAGGGCCTTCTCAGTGGTGTCCCCTCGGCTATGGAATGCCCTCCCTAGGGAAATCAGATCTGCTCCCTCCCTCTTGACATTTCGGAGGCAAGTTAAAACGTGGCTATTCGAGCAAGCGTTTACAAATACAGAGTAGCTAATATAGGAAATCGAATGACCTGACAATGGAATTGGACAATGCTTGAGAATAATGAGACGCTGATGATGTTGCTTTTATTGTTTTTATGATGTTCTTATACTGCTTAATGTTTTTTATCTATTATATTTTATGTATACTGATTTGTTAGAAACCGCCTTGAGTCGCCAATTGGCTGAGAAAGGCGGTATACAAATACAGTAAATAAATAAATAAAATAAATATGCCCAAATTTGAATATTTGTGGGGTTTGGGGGGTGTTTATTTTGTTATTTTGGAGTTGTAATTGCTAGGATTGATAGTTCACCTACAATCAAAGAGCATTCTGAACTCCACCAACAATCAAATTGAGCCAATCTTGGCACACAGAACTCCCATGATTAACAGAAAATACTGGAAGGGTTTGGTGGGCATTGACCTTGTGTTTTGGAGTTGTAGTTCACCTACATCCAGAGAGCATTGTGGACTCAAACAATGGTGGATCTGGACCAAACTTGGTATGAATACTGAATATGCCCAAATGTGAACACTGGTGGAGTTTGGGGAAAATAGACCTGGACATTTGGGAGTTGTAGTTGCTGGGATTTATAGTTCACGTACAATCAAAGAGCATTCTGAACTCCACCAATGATCGAATTGAGCCAATCTTGGCACACAGAACTCCCATGATTGACAGAAAATACTGGAAGGGTTTGGTGGGCATTGACCTTGAGTTTTGGAGTTGTAGTTCACCTACAACCAGAGAGCATTGTGGATTCAAACAATGATGGATCTGGACCAAACTTGGCATGAATACTCAATCTGCCCAAATGTGAACACTGGTGGAGTTTGGGGAAAATAGACCTAGACATTTGGGAGTTGTAGTTGCTGGGATTTATAGTTCAGGTACAATCAAAGAGCATTCTGAACTCCACCAACGATGGAATTGAATCAGTCTGGGCACACAGAATTCCCACGATTAACAGAAAATTCTGGAAGAGTTTGGTGGGCATTGACCTTGAGTTTTGGAGTTGTAGTTCACCTACATCCAGAGAGCATTGTGGACTCAAACAATGGTGGATCTGGACCAAACTTAGCATGAATACTCAATATGCCCAAATGTGAACATTGGTGGAGTTTGGGGAAAATAAACCTTGACATTTGGGAGTTGTAGTTGCTGGGATTTATAGTTCACCTACAATCAAAGAGCACTCTGAAACTCACCAACAAACTCCCCACACAGAACCCCCATGACCAACAGAAAATACTATGTTTTCTTTGGTGATCCCTCGGACACCCCCTCGCGACCCCTCCAGGAGTCCCAACACCCAGATTGAGAAACACTGGCTTAGAGACTTGTCTTTGAAAGAGTTAGCTAGGGCAGCATTCAATTATATTATTGCATACCAAAAGTTAGGATTGTCCATGCCATCGTGCCTTCAATTGGTATGCATAGCAGGGCATTGAAGGCAGTTGATAGGAAGAAAATCAGCTCATATGAAATGCGGTGCCAAAGGAGAGCATTGCAGATGTCGCAGACTGGCAAAAAGGCACACAAATGGATCCTGGAGCAAATCAAGCCTGAACTCTCCCTAGAAGCCAAGATGACTAAACTGGGATTGTCGTACTTTAGATATATTATTAGAGGATATGACTCATTAGAAAAAGGCAATAAATGCTTGGCAAAGTAAAAGGCAATCGGAAAAGGGGAAGGCTGCATTCACATGCCATTAAGGAAGGAGTTTGCAAGACCTGAGCAGGGCTGTTGATAACAGGGAGACTTGGAGGTCTCGCATTCATAGGATCACCATATGTTGGACTCAACTAAACAGTTAACAGAAACAATAGACAAACAGAAATAGAGTGAATACCAGTTAAGAGGAGGAGGAGAACAGGGGAGATCTGAATGGGGGTTTTGGAGAAGGGGTTTGGAGAGAAGTGGATGAAACTGATGAGTTACCATCACTCTGTAAGGCACCAGCTTGAGTTGATGTTACCCTGATGTTTGCTGGCTTGTTGCTTCGAGGGAATGCCTTACAACAGCGTTTCTCATCCTTCCTAATGCCGCGACCGCTTAATACTGTTCCTCATGCTGTGGTGACTCCCAACCATAACATTATTTTCGTTACTACTTTCAATAGTTCACCTACAATCAGAGCATTTTGAATTCCACAAGTGATGGAATTGAACCAAACTTGGCACACAGAACTCCCATGAACAACAGAAAATACTGGAAGAGTTTGGTGGGCATTGACCTTGAGTTTGGGAGTTGTAGTTCACCTACATCCAGAGAGTCAAGCTAGGATGGATCTGGACCAAACCTGGCATGGATACTCAATATGTCTAAATGTGGACACTGGTGGAGTTTGGGGAAAATAGACCTTGACATTTGGGAGTTGTAGTTGTTGGGATTTATAGTTCACCTACAATCAAAGAGCATTCTGAACTGCATCAAAGATAGAATTAGGCCAAACTTCTCACACAGAACCCCCATAACCAACAGAAAACATTGTGTTTTTCTGATGTTCTTTGGCAACCCCTTTGACACCCCCTCGTGACTTCCCCCAGGGGTCCCGACCCCCAGGTAGAGAAATGCTGCCTTACAACAATCATGTTGATCTGTGTGGAGATGGGTTAGTAGAGTTGATTCAATGTCTCTTGTAATTTTTAAAGAGACTGAGATTAATAATGGTACGCCTATTAGCAGATTCTCTGGATGATATTTGATTGATCTGTTTGCAGATATTAATAGAATTGTAACAGAAATTGTGGGAAGAGTACCTTTTGATTTTTGACAGTAAGAGCAATGGAACCAATTGCCTACAAAGGTGGCGATGTTTCTTTCACTGGACGGCTCCAAAAGAGATTGGGTAGCTATTTGCTTTGAATTGTCTTGTTGGATTTTCACATTAAATAGAGGTTGGGCTTGATGGGCTTTGGGATCCCTTCCAGTTTATTGACAAGCTGGAATGTGTCCAGAGGAGGGCAACTAAAATGATCAAGGGTCTAGAGAAGAAGCCCTATGAGGAGCGGCTTAAGGAGCTGGGCATGTTTAGCCTGAAGAAGAGAAGGTTGAGAGGAGATATGATAGCCATGTATACATATGTGAGAGGAAGCCACAGGGAGGAGGGAGCAAGCTTGTTTACTGCTTCAATGGAGATTAGGACAAGGAACAATGGCTTCAAACTACAAGAGAGGAGATTCCATCTGAACATGAGGAAGAACTTCCTGACTGTGAGAGCCGTTCAGCAGTGGAACTCTCTGCCTCGGAGTGTGGTGGATGCTCCTTCTTTGGAAGCTTTTAAACAGAGGCTGGATGGCCATCTGTAAGGGTTGATTTGAATGCAATATTCCTTCTTCTTGGTAGGGGGTTGGACTGGATGGCCCATGAGGTCTCTTCCAACTCTTTGATTCTATGATTCTATGCTTCTCTGGTAGTCCTCTCCTCTCCAGCAGGAACAGTGCGATCATGGGATGGGGTCTATCAGTGAATCCTGGAAGGTTGAGTTGATAGGAGGGTGATAGTAGAGTCTTCTAAGAGGTTCAAATCCCCAATAGTCCATGGAAACCCCGGGAGGCATCAGAGAAAGGTACTTTTTTAAATTGTGTTAGAAGCTACTTGAGAAATTACAAGTAGCTTCTGGTGTGAGAGAATTGGCCGGCTGCAGAGACCTTGCCTAGGGGATGCCTGGATGTGTTACCATCCTTTAGGAGGCTTCTCTCATATCCTGCATGGTGAGCTGGAGCTGACACAAGGGAACTCACCTTGTTTTGCAGACTCGAACCGTCGACCTTCAGGTCAGCAGTTCAGCTGGCATAAGGGTTTGTTAAAATTATTTTTATTAGTGAATAACAGATGAC